GACCATGGCTGGGTGGAGTGATGACTGCAGCTGGTCTGGGAAGGCAGAAGCAAGCAGAGGGCCAGGGCAGGATGGGCAGGGATTCTCTGCGGGGAGGATCTGTGGAGACGGGGCAGCAGGATTAGGATGTTGGAATCGAGGAGGCTTTTGTCCCTGGGGGATGGCGTGGAGAAGCGGGGCATGGGCCTGGAAATTTGGCCTGCAGCCTATCCTCACCAGGCCATCTGGAAGCTACTTGTTGGGAACCCTGTGTGTGTAAAGGGCTGACCCAGGCCCAGACCCGGGGGAGCTGGAAAAGGGCACACACGGAGACCACCCGAGAGGCGTGCTGGAACTGCTTGGCCAGTCCTGGGGGACGGGATGGCTGGGGCGTGTGGGTAACTTCCTGCAAGAAAACAGGACTTGATGAGGAAGGTGGGAGGCTGTTCCAGGCAGATGGAGGTCTGTGCTGCTAGAGCAATGGAGGAGTCACCACCATGTGGGGCTCCACCTTTGTCGCAGTGGGAGCAGAGATTGGTGAGGGGCATCAGGGCCAGATACGTAGGTGTGAGGAACCCTAGATGGACCAGTGCTGCAGGGGGAGGTGGTGCCATGCCAGGGAGGTGGATAGGATGCTGGACACAAGTGAAGAGCAACCAGCCCTGGTGGCTTCCTCAAACCTGCGTGAGTGCCTGCCCCATTCCCAGATGAAGAAAGCAGAGGTTTCAATAGGAAAAGTGACTTGTCCTAAATCCCAGAGCTGCGAAGTCAGGAAGTTCAGCCTCCTGATTCCAAAGGCAAATCTGGAGTTTCTGTTGGAGTTAAGGGGCCAGGTGAATGGTCTGTGTTAACAAAACAAACAAACAAACAAAACTCTGTAAAATATTTAAAGAAGTTTATTCTCAGCTGATGTGAGTGACCATGGCCTGGGGTACAGTCTCAAGAGGTCCTTAGAAAGTGTGCCTGAGATGGTTGGGTTACAATTTGGCTTTATACATTTTAGGGAGACAGAGGTTACAAGCAAATACATCAATCAATACATAGAAGGTGCACATTGGTTCGGCCTCTAAGGGCAGGACAACTCCGGGGGCTTTACAGGTCATAGGTGATTCAGAGGTTTTCTGATTGGCAATTGGTTGGAAAAGTTAAGCTGTGTCTAAAGAGTTGAAGTGGCTGGGTACAATGACTCACGTCTGGAATCCCAGCACTTTGAGAGGCTGAGGAGGATGGCTTGATCCCAGGAGTTTTAGACAAGCCTGGGCACCACAGTGAGACCCGGTGTCTACAAAAAAATTTTAAAAATTAGTTGGGCATGGTGATGTGTACTCGTAGTCCCAGCTACTCGGGAGGCTAAGGCGGGAGGGTTACTTCATCCTAGGAGGTCAGGCCTATGGTAAGCCATGACTGTAGCGCTGCATTCCAACTGGGGGGACAGAATGAGACCCTGTCTCAAAAATAAAATAAAATAAAATAGGCTGGGCGCAGTAGCTCACACCTGTAATCCCAGCACTTTGGGAGGCCATGGTGGATGGATCACTTGATGTCAGGAGTTTGAGACCAGACTGGCCAATATGGTGAAACCCCATCTCTACTAAAAATACAAAAATTAGCCAGGCATGGTGGCGGGCATCTGTAGTCCCAGCTACTTTGGAGGCTGAGGCAGGATAATCGCCCGAACCTGGGAGGCGGAGGTTGCAATGAGCCAAGATCGCACCATTGCACTCCAGCCTGGGCGACAAGAATGAAATTCCATCTCCAAAAAAAAATAATAATAATAAGATAAAATAAAATAAAGAGTTGAAGTCAAGCCAGGCATGGGGGCTCACGCCTGTAATCCCAGCAGTTTGGGAGGCCGAGGAGGGCAGATCACGAGGTCAGGAGTTTGAGACCAGCCTGGCCAATATGGTGAAACCCCATCTCTACTAAAACTACAAAAATTAACTGGGTGTGGTGGCAGGCATCTGTAGTCTCAGCTACTCTGGAGGCTGAGGCAGGAGAATCGCTTGAAACCGGGGAGGTGGAGGGTGCACTGCACTCCAGCCTGGGCAACAGAGCAAGATTCCATCTCAAAAAAAAAAAAAACAGAGTTGAAGTCAGTGGGAAGAAATGCTTAAGATAAGGGGGTTGTGGAAGCTGAGGTTCTTGTTACGTAGATGGCCTCCAGGTAGCAACCCTGAGAACAGATAGTGAATGTCTCTTTTCAGACCTTCAAAGGTTTCAGACTCTCATTGAATCTCTCCTAAATCTGAGAAAGTCCTGGCTGAATTAATGGAAATTCTCTACAGATGCAAATTTCCCCCACAGGAGACAGCTTTGCAGGGCCATTTCAAAATATTGTCAAATAAAAATATTTTGGGGTAAAGTATTTTGATTTCCTTCAGGGTCTGCTATCTGTTATGTGATGTTGTACCAGAGTCAGGTAGAAATTTGGCATCTTATTGCTATAAAAAGCCTGTTTTGAGCCGGGCATGGTGGCTCACGCCTGTAATCTCAGAACTTTGGGAGGCTGAGGCGGGTGGATCACCTGAGGTCAAGAGGTCAAGAGTTTGAGACCAGCCTGGCCGACATAGTGAAACCCCATCTCTACTAGAAATACAAAAAATTGGCCGGGCGCGGTGGCTCAAGCCTGTAATCCCAGCACTTTGGGAGGCTGAGACGGGCGGATCACGAGGTCAGGAGATCGAGACCAGCCTGGCCGACATAGTGAAACCCCATCTCTACTAGAAATACAAAAAATTGGCCGGGCGCGGTGGCTCAAGCCTGTAATCCCAGCACTTTGGGAGGCTGAGACGGGCGGATCACAAGGTCAGGAGATCGAGACCATCCTGGCTAACACGGTGAAACCCCGTCTCTACTAAAAAATACAAAAAACTAGCCGGGAGTCCCAGCTACTTTGGAGGCTGAGGCAGGAGAATCACTTGAATCCGGGAGCCAGAGGTTGCAATGAGCCGAGATCATGCCATTGCACTCCAGCCTGGGCAACAAGAGTGAAACTCTGTCTTAAAAAAAAAAAAAAAATCTGTTTTGTGTCTTATGATCTCTATTTTATTTATTTTAAAAATAATTTATTTTATTTTTGAGACAGAGTTTCACTCTTGTTGCCCAGACTGGAGTGCAATGACGCTATCTTGGCTCACTGTAACCTCCACATCCCAGGCTCAAGCAATTTCTGTGCTTCAGCCTCCCAAGTAGCTGAGATTACAGGCATGTGCCACTATGTCCGGGTAATTTTTTGAATTTTTTGTAGAGATGGGGTTTCATCATGTTGGCCAGGTTGGTCTCGAACTCCTGACCTCAAGTGATCCACCTGCCTTGGCCTCCCAAACTGCTGGGATTACAGGAATGAGCCACCATGCCTGGATAGAATAAATATTTTATGCTTTGGGCCAACAGGCAAAATCGAGGATATTAAGTAGGTAAGTATGTAACAAGAAATAAAACAAAATTCCATAATTTGGGGGGATTGTTATTGACAGAACGTAAAAGTTAATTTATGGATGCTGAAAGTGGAGTTTCATACAATTTTTATGTGTTATGAAATATTATTATTTTGATTATTTATTTATTTTTGAGATAGAGTCTTGCTCTGTTGCCCAGGCTGTGATCTCAGCTCACTGCAACCTCTGCCTCCCAGGTTCAAGCGATTCTCCTGCCTCAGCCTCACAAGTAGCTGGAATTACAGGCATGTGCCACCACACTCGGCTAATTTTTTTGTATTTTTAGTAGAGATGGGGTTTCACTATGTTGGCCAGGCTAGTCTTGAACTCCTGATCTCAAGTGATCTGTCTGCCTCGGCCTCCCAAAGTGCTGGGATTACAGGCATGAGCCACTGCACTCAGCCTGATTTTTTTTTCAATGATTTAAAAATGTAAAAATCATTATTTGTTCAGGGATCATATAAAATCAAGCAGTAAGCAAAATTTGGGCTATGGGCAATAGTTTGCCAACCTCTGGTCTAGATCTGCCCTGTTCATCATAGTAGCCCCTGGCTACCTGCAGCTACTGAGTACTTGAAATGTGGCCAGGGACACTCACGATGGCTCACACCTGTAATCTCAGCACTTTTGGAGGTTAACGTGGGAGGACTGCTTGAACCCAGGAGTTTCAAGTTACAGTGAACTATGATTTCAACACTGCATCCCAAACCTGAGTGACAGGGAAAGAAAGAAAAAGAGAGAGAGAGAGAGAGAGAGAGAGAGAGAGAAGGAGGAGGAGGAGGAGAAGGAGAAACAGAGAAAAGAAAAAGAGAAAGAAAGAAGAGAAAGAAAGAAGGAAAGAACATAAGAAAGAAGAAAGGAAGGAAAAAGAAAGAGAGAAAAAGAAACAAAAGAAAGAAAGGAAGAAAAAGAGAGGGAGGGAGGGAGAAAGGGAGGAAGGAAGGGAAGGGAGGAAGGAGGGAAGGGAGAGAGGAAGAGAGAAAGGAATGTGGCTGTACTGGATTAAAATATGCTTAGGTGTGGCCGGGCACGGTGGCTCACTCTTGTAATCCCAGCACTTTGGGAGGCCAAGGTGGGTGGATCACGAGGACAGGAGATGGAGACCATCCTGGCTAACAAGGTGAAACCCCGTCTCTACTAAAAATAATACAAAAAATTAGCCGGGCGTGGTGGTGGGTGCCTGTAGTCCCAGCCATTGGGGAGGCTGAGGCAGCAGAATGGTGTGAACCTGGGAGGTGGAGTTTGCAGTGAGCCAAGATTGTGCCCCTGCACCTCCAGCTTGGGCGGCAGAGCGAGACTCTGTCTCAAAAAAAAAAAAAAAAAAAAAAAAGCTTAGGTGTAAAATACACACTAGATTTTGAAGACAGTATAAAAAACAAAATATCCCAATAACTTTTTATTATATTTTAGATATCTCAGAATAAGTAAAATATATTACTAAAATTAACTTCACCCCCCAGTTTTTTATTTTTATTTTTTATTTTACTTTTTTTTACTTTGTCTTAGTCCACTTTCTGTTGTTTGAATATCTGAGACTCGATAATTTTGAAAGAAAAGAGGTTTATTTAGCTTATGGTTCTGCAGGCTGGGAAGTTCAAGATTGGACAGCTGCATCTGGCAGCTTCTGATGAGGGCTTTGTGCTGCATCAAAACATGGCAGAGAAATGGAAGGCGGACCAGGTGCATGGGGGAAAGGAGGAAAACATGAGGCGCGACCTTGCTTGATGACAACCCAACTCTAAAGGTAACTGATCCAGACCCAAGAGAGTGAGAACTCGCTTCTGTGGGACTCTGCATGAATATCTTGTCATGAAGGCAGATCCCTCATGATCCAAACATCCCTGAAAGGTCCCCCACCTGTCAATGCCATTATATTGGCAATTACATTTCAACATGAGTTTTGGTAGGAACAAACCACATCCAAACCATAGCATCTTCCCACTGTTGAGTCACTTTTTAATGTGGCTATTAGAACAATTTAAATGATACATGTGTTTGCACTTGTGGCTTGCATCTGTATCTGGTATACAGTGCTGCTCTACTAGTGAAGCTGGAGCGCCCAGAGTGAGATGACCCCAATTTGCCTTGGGGGAAGTGGAAGGGTGCGGCCTGGTGTTCAGCAGTGGGGTGTGGGGTCACAGAGGGACAGCCGGATTTCACTAAGGTGAAGTGGAGGGGCAGGGCTCCGGGAGGCACACACTGAGCGGGGCTTCTGCAGCAGTGAGTTGAGGGAGTGGTGTGGGCTTTGCGGGTAGGGACTGAGCTGTTTGTGGGGTATCTGTAAGAGGCTGTGCAGCAAGCCAGGTGGCAAGAAGCAAGATGTTGGCTGGGCATGGTGGCACATGCCTGTAATCCCAGCACTTTGGGAGGCCAAGGCAGGAGGATTGCTTGAGGCCGGGAGTTTGAGACCAGCCTAATCAACATAGTGAGACCATGTTTCTATATAAATAAATAAAATTTTAAAAGCAAGATGTTGCCAAGCAATTGACCAGGTGGTGAGTATGAGAGAGCCCCTGCCCTGAGGGCTTTCCATCTTTCACCCACCTGGATCAGCACACAGCATGTCCTTGTCTTCCACTCCAAGTCTACATCCTGGCCCCTACTGGAGAAGGGTTCTGACCAGTTCACTGGCAGAATGTGAAACTGTATGTTAAGACATCCATGACATGAGGCCCTAACAAGCCAAGAATCCTTTCTTTTCACAGCAGAAGGCCTCTGGCTCTTTCCCTGTGTTGACTGGAGGCTGAGTCTCTGTCCTCGACACCCCACGCGCTGCTGCCTCCTCTGCCCTGCCTGGGGAGCCCTGCCCGGTCTGGCCCTGTGCTGGGAACAGCCAGAGCTGGGGCTTCTTGCGCTTCCTGTTCACACCCACGGAACCAGCTTTGCCTTCCCCTCTGCTGTGCAGGGAGAAGGGAGGTGGGAGGTGCGGCGGGGATGGTCCCGTCTGTGGCTTCCTGCTTCTCGGCTGGCAGGAGGAAGGCAGGTTTTCTGTGTCTGTGTCTCTGTGGTCTTTCAGGCTCAGCACTTGGGTAGGAAGATGAAAACCTCGGAGTGCCCTTGTCTCTTTCCCTCGGGTCTGATCAGACCAAAGCCTTGTGTGGTGGAGGAGCTGAAAGGATGTGGCACGGGGAGGCTGGCAGCCCGGCGCTGCTCGGCTCACTTTTCCCTCTGCCAGCCTTTGTTACCAAGGGGTTTGGACTTGATCTTGCAAATGGATCATCTCTTGATCCTTCTCTAGCCTCTAGGGACAAATATACTAGAAGAAATGGTCATGACAATTGGTGCCACCAGCAGGAGGGATAGCCAGGAAGCAAGGGTTGGAATGGTTTCTCCTTGAGAGAAGCAAGCCTCTGAGTCCAAGGCCCTCCACCAAGCGGTTCTGGTCCGGTGCTCCAGCCTCACCACCCGTCCTGCGCCATGCATGGAGTTGGGGTTGTAACCACACACAAACACAGCGTTCTGCCAACGCACCCTCCTCAAGGTCTCTCATCATCCCTCCTTCCCATCTCCTCCACTGGAGCACGGCCACAGCAGTATTCACTGACTTCCAGTTTCCTGCGGGATAAATCTGAACCCTTTGTCGTGGCACCCAAAGTCCTTGCCCAGCTGCGCAGTCCCAGCTCCTCTTCATCGTGTGCGGCAACTTGTTCTCCAAGCAGCCTCTGCTTTCTCAAGCATAGAAGCTGAGCTGTGTCATCTCCTCTGCCTGTACCCCTTCTTTTCTGTCTCTGCTGGAGAACCCCTGCTCAGCCTCAGGAAAGATGTTTAAGGGACAGTTATGCATGAGGGTTTAGAGTTCAGAGACCCAGTCTGTCCTGGAGGTCAAGGGCATGTTGTTGGCAATTGAAGCCTCAACAATTCAATCGAGTGAATACATGAGTGAATAGATGAACTGTTGCGGAATCAGAAACTGAGGCTCAAGCTGGGCACGGTGACTCACGCCTATAATTCCAGCACTTTGGAAGGCTGGGGTGGGCGGATCACCTGAGGTCAGGAGTTTAAGACCAGCCTGCTAATATGGTGAAACCCCCTCTCTACTAAAAATACAAAAATTAGTCAGAGATGGTGGTGGGCACCTGTAATCCCAGCTACTTGGGAGGCTGAGGCAGGAGAATCGCTTGATCTTGGGAGATGGAGGTTGCAGTGAGCCGAGATGGTGCCACTGCACTCCAGCCTGCGTCACAGAGTAAGACCCAGTCTGAAAAAAAAAAAAAGAAAGAAAGAAAGAAAAAAAGAAACTAAGGCTCAAAGAAAGAGCCCGCAGGTCCACACTGACCTAGTTGCAATGCAAAGACATAAACATAAAGAGCCTCTTTTAGGAGCCACTGCCGCCTCTCAGAGGGTGACAGGCATTTCCCAGTTTAATAGGCTTTCTCCCCACCTAATATGCAGTAGTGAGTCCTAAAATCTGTCCCTGTCGCAATGACCGGTGCCTAGAATGCTTCATAAAACCGAGAGTCCAGCCCCAGGGGTCAGGGAGTCTGAAGTTTCAAAAACTACACAGGAGATCGTGTTGCAGACGAGGCTGGGCCCCTGTGTGAGCTGTGCCCACGGTATGCAGCTTTGTGAGCCCTCGAGGAAACTGGGAGGATGAGGGTTTGTATGGGAACCACAGAACAGGGCTCTAGCCATTTCTGATTGGTTTCTGAAGGACGGAGGCTGCCTCTGAGACTCAGCAGGGCGTGGGGTAGCTGTTGCAAGAAAGTGTGATTTTAGGGAGGCTGCCCCAGGTTGTCTCTCCAGATCTCTTACTCGCCTGTTTCAAGGATTTGACTTGAGATATATTTTGAGATATGTTGTTGTGGGGTGGCTGGGGGCCGGTGGCGGGGGAGGGGGTGTCAGCAGGCAAAGGAATGTTACCTTGGATGCTTCCACTGTTGCTGCTGTTAGCAGTCACAGCAGCTCTCACTTACACCGGGCGCTGTTCTAAACCCTTAGCAGCCGTCCTCCCATAGCGCTGCAGGACTGTGGAGAGACAGGTGCCATCCTCTTTTTTTTTTTAAGATGAGGTAGGTTGGGAGTGGTGGCTCATGCCTGTAATCCCAGCCCTTTGGGAAGTTAAGGCAGGCAGATGGCTTGAGCCCAGGAGTTCGAGACTAGCCTGGGCAATACAGGAAGACCCTGTCTCTAGCTAAATAAATAAACAAGCTGAGTGTGACGGTGCACGCTTGTAGTCCCAGCTAAATGGGAGGCTGAGGCGGGAGGATCACGTGAGCCCAGGAGGTCAAGGCTTCGGTGAGCCGTGATCACATCACTGCACTCAGAGCAAGACCCTGTCTCAGAAAAAATGTAAAAAAAGATGAAGAAGCTGAACTTCATGGAGGTCTGCTTAGGGATCCACATCTCAGATGCTTTTGGTCAATGGGAATAGGTTTAGTGGGGCCCTGGAGGAAGACATTAGAACATGGTGGGGGCTGGGTTTAGCTGGACAGTGCCTGCCTCATCCACTGGGGGTCACTGTGACTCAGCTCCTGCTGATTCTGGACATAAGAGACTGTGGCCCAATGTCACCTTAGCTAACAATTTTTCAAAAGTAACTGGACATACAACCTTGTGTAGAAATAATCTGGCAGGGCGTGGTGGCTCACACCTGTAATCCCAGCACTTTGGGAGGCTGAAGCGGGCGGATCATGAGGTCAGGAGTTCGAAACCTGCATGGCCAATATGATGAAACCCTTTCTCTACTAGAAATACAAAAATTAGCGTGGTGGTGCATGCTTGTAATCCCAGCTACTTGGGAGGCTAAGGCACAAGAATCGCTTGAACCCAGGAGGTGAAGGTTTTAGTAGTGAGCCAAGATCATACCACTGCACTCCAGCCTGGGCAACACAGTGAGACTCCATCTAATACACACACACACACACACACACACACACACACACACACACACATATACACATATATATGAAAGAAATGTCACAATCCATAAATGTTGGCAAACAATTTTTTCAAATGAGCCAAACACTGCGTAGGACTGGGTGAAGTGGTGTGCGTCTGAGCTGCTAGGAAGGTTGAAGCGGGAGGATCACTTGAGGCCAGTAGTTTAAGGCTACACTGAGCTGCAATCACGCCTGTGAACAGCTACTGCACTACAGCCTGGGCAACCTCTCTCAAAAACAAAAACAGAACAAAACACTGTATAGAGCAAGCAAGTGGGTCCAAGAGGCAACTTTGGTCCACAAGGTGCTGGTTTGAAAGAGTATTAGATTAGTTTGTTTTCACATTGCTATAAGGAAATACCTGAGGCTCAGTAACTTATAAAGGAAAGAGGTGTAACTGACTCAGTTCTGGGTGCGGGGAGGCCTCAGGAAATTTACAATCATGGCGGAAGGCACCTTTTCACACGGCAGCAGGAGAGAGAGAGTGCCAGCAGGGGAAATGCCAGATGTTTATAAAACCATCAGATCTTGTGAGAACTCACTCTCTATCACGAGAACAGCATGGGGGAACCGCCCCCACGATTCAGTGACCTCCCACCACATCCCTCCTATGACAAAAGGAGATTATGGGGATTGCAATTCAAGATGAGATTTGGGACTGGGCACAGTGGTTCACGCCTGTAATCCCAGCACTTTGGGAGGCCGAACTCCTGAGGTCAGGAGTTTGAGATCAGCCTGGCCAACACAGTGAAACCCCATCTCTACTAAAAGTACAAAATTAGCCAGGTGTGGTGGCGCATGCCTGCAATCCCAGCTACTCGGGAGGCTGAGGTCTGAGAATCGCTTGAACCCAGGAGGCAGAGGTTGCAGTGAGCTGAGATAATGCCACTGCACTCCAGCCTGGGCAACAGAGCAAGACTCTGTCTCAAAAAAAAAAAAAGAAAAAGAAAAAGGAAAAAAAAAGATCTTGTATTCATTCTGCAGGCACTGGGGTGGAAACCGTAGGAGTCAGGGTGGAGGAGACAGACCCGATGCAGGGTCTCAGGGCACTCACAGTCAGTGTCAATAGTGTGGCCCATGTTCTGAGGGGCACCCTTCCTTGGGGCATGACTGAACACTTCCCATAGGAGGAGGAGGAAGTCTGCTGGGCGTTGTGTTCAGTTTCTGGGGCTGCTGTGATTAAGTGCTGCAAACCGAGTGGCTTACAGCAACCCAGCTGTATTCTCTCTCAGTTCTTGAGGCTGGAAGTCTAAAATTAAGCTGCCAGCCGGGCCCGTGCTCCTTCTGAAAGCTTCAGGGCAGGGTCTTTGCCCCTCTCCTAGCTTCTGGTGTTGCCGGCAATCCTTAGCTTGTAAATGCATCACTGCAATCTCTGCCTCCGTTGCCATGTGGCATTTTTCCTGCGTGGCTGTCTGTCTTTCCCCCTCTTAAGTCCACCAGTCATATGGGAGTAGGGTGGGCCTTTCATCCTCATACTCCAGTTTGACCTCATCTTAACTTGATTCCACCTGAAAAGACTATTTCCAAGTAAGGTAACATTCAGAGGCACCAGGAGTCAGGATTTGAACATATCTTTTTTTTTTTTTTTTTGAGACGGAGCCTCGCTCTGTCACCCAGGCTGGAGTGCAGTGGCGCGATCTCGGCTCACTGCAAGCTCCGCCTCCCGGGTTCACGCCATTCTCCTGCCTCAGCCTCCCGAGTAGCTGGGACTACAGGCGCCGCCACCACGCCCAGCTAATTTTTTGTGTTTTTAGTAGAGACAGCGTTTCACCGTGTTCGCCAGGATGGTCTCGATCTCCTGACCTCATGATCTGCCTGCCTCGGCCTCCCAAAATGCTGGGATTACAGGCGTGAGCCACTGCGCCCGGCCGTGAACATGTCTTTTGTGGGGGCACACAATTCAACCACAATGTGTACAGTAGGTAGGTGACTGTTCCAGGTAGAGGGAACAGCAGGTGCGAAGGCCCAAAGGCAGGAGGGCACTGGTGTGTTTCAGGAAGTCAAAGAAATTCAGCACAGCTGGAGTGGAGTGGCAAGGAGGTGCACCTGAGGCAGCTCATGCTGGACCTTACAGGCCAGTTGGGAGGGTCAGGATAGGCCAGGCCACAGTTTGGAGGAAAAAAAAAAATCCCAAATCTCAGTGCCAGGCCCAGTACAGGTTCATTTTCAGCTTGTGTCAAATCTGATGTGGGTTGAACAGCTCTTCTCCATAAAGTAGCTCAGCCATCTAGAACACATGGTCGCGGGGGGAAGGGAAGTCTGGAGAAGGCCCCCAGTCTCCATCGCCCCAGCCTGAAAGGGACTCCTCCACTCACAGACCACACAGCAAGGGAGGCGGCAAGGCGGGGACACAGATTTCTGGGAGCCCCAGCTGTCTCTCCCACTCATATTCACCCGAAGTCAAGGCTAAGACTTCATCCTCACAGCACTGGGAAGTCAGCCAGGGTTTTCACACAGAGGTAGTGACGAGATGGGACTTGCATTTTAAATTTTTCCTTTTTTCACTGTAGCTCTCAGATCGTATGACTTGTGTTTTAGAAAGATTCCTCTGGCGAGAGGACTGTCCTGAAGCAGGGGAGCTGGACTTTGTCTGCTGGAGTGTGGGAAGTGGCTGCGGTGGGAGTTGGCCACAGCAGAGGCAAAATATATTTGTAGTTAACTCATGCAACTTCCACCTTGCAGGTTCAGCCAAAAAACAAACGGAAAAAAAGAATGTGAGAAAAATTAATTCATATAATTAAAAAACGATCCAAAAGTATTTTGTGTATGTCCTTTCCCACATTGCAGATTGTCCACATTTTATGCATATATTCTGAATAGCCCAAACCCGGGGAGTGTGTACTCTATGGGCCTTTTAAGAGATTTTCAGGGGTAACTGAGCTCCTGGTTGACTTGAGAACCTCGCTGTCATGGAAGTGCTCTCTACTCAGGGTCCGTAACTGGACCTAATAACAAGAGTAGGGAGGCCTGTGTCAAAAGGACTTCCTACTGTTTCCCAAACAGTGTGGTGGCTTGCCTCTGGGAGAAACACCCTTGGATACAATATGAAGGCTTTATTTATTTTATTTTATTTTATTTTTTTGAGACAG